ATAAGTTTGTCCTTAGATATCAGTGTCACAACACAAAATTTCTAACGACCCGAAAAGCATATTGGCTTGGCCTGGGCAAGATGAGTCTTTTCAGCATTCAGATGGCTTGCAAGGAGCTTGATCGCTAGAAAGTGATGTTGGACCCCAACCAATTTTGCTGTTTCTTCCATTGGCACACTGGCCAGGAAGATATTAATTGTGTCTCGGAATATATGTGAGTCCTGGTCTGAACCTCACATCTGGTACTCATACAGTTGGGGACAATCAAACACCGCTTATTTAATAGCACGTGAACCATTCATTTTTGTAGAAATCTGACACCAGATTCAGATCCGGAGGGCGAAAAGGAGCCCAAAAACATACCTCCGAAGTTTTTCCCACGAGCCATTGTTTTTCTCAATATTTTGGGCCAGTTGAACAGAATTGTGTGTACCCCTTTTGGCCCTGTGGGGATACTTTTAGGGACAAATCTCTCCCAAGTCACATATCTGTACATCAGAACCATTTAGCGGCCAATAGAAGCCATACCTGAGATATAAATGCTGTTTTTGGATCAAATAATTGGCACATCAAATCTTTTTTTTTTCCAAAGGAACAGCTCGATAGAATTGTTTGCTTTTGCCGGGATCATGACAAGCTCACCAAAAGGAGTCGATTGGTAAATTTTACGTTATTTTTGCGATTTTTTTTGGCTTTTCTCAATATTTTGGGGTCGGTTTCGGAGAAATCATTGATTTGACAAATTTTGCTCGTGCCAATCTCTTCGTTTGGGCCTTGATTCACATAGAAACTATTTCGTAGGTTTCCCAATGGCATTCCCCACCCCTGACATTCAACTTTCCCATGCATCCCAAATAGGCGGGTTTTGATTGACCCCAACTGTATCCCTACAGTCCAAACATCTGAATAGTGGATGAGCTTTGGAAGGATTGTGTATTGATAATTAGAGGTAAACTGCTGAATGTCCCTAAACATATGATTTACTCTTTGACTTAGACACGACGCATGTGCACATTGCCAGTCTCTTCAGCGGCCAGGTACGATACACAACCAGAATACATATCTCTTGTTGATCATACTATCAGGGGATGAACTCTAGCGTACAAGACTCAGTATATACTGCTTCAATCGGTTCAATATTTTGCATAACAACTAACACACTCAAAGTTCAACCTCGGCTGGAAGTTAGCCTACGTCCTTGGCCTTTCCTCTCCCGACTTCTTGTCAAGCTACGCAGAAGAGCGACTCCCTGTGATTGTCGCAATGCTAAATAAGACTACTGAGCTCCACACAAAAGCAGTCAAATTTGACAACCTCGTCAATGAATCCTATTGGCAGCGTCAAAAATCTCTCAGAATCAATTACTGATGGAGCTCCATCGTTCATCAAGAGGTTCCAAGGAGTACCAATAGTATAAGGGCTGTTTATGGCGATGAATCTGAAGAAACGGCTCACCTCGCCATAGGTGACCGGGCCCCTGATGCGCCGGGCTTGTCAGAGACGGACGGAGAAGGGACAGTGTCGCAAAGCCTTTTCAAGATCTTTAAGTACACGGAGCACACCATCTTGATCTTCCGTCTTCTAGGAAGACGGCCGGATTTCGATGCTATCGTTCAGTTTATTTCCCACTTGCCATAGAAGACCCAATCCGTGCTCATCCTTCCCCCGGGAACCGAGCTCGGGAATGATTCCATCGGGGGTATGGTTTATAACGTTCTCTTGGATGTGAAGAGGCATGCTTTCAGGGGATGCTCTGCTCTAATGTTGTCAAGACTTGCGACTCAGCCTTCCCAAGTCGACTTGATGTGACTTGTGAGTCAAAGGAAGTTGACTCGAGTCAACTTGAGTGAGGTGATTTTTACTGGATGTTCCTTCTCATGCATAACAACGATTGGAATTGATTTCAAAAAAATCTTTGAACTGATTTCACGAGTGTGATATGGTGTGACATATGTGACACCCGTGTCATCGTGGCTTCATTTTGTGTTTCTATCCAGTTTCTGAGCACGATTAAACCCAGAAAAATATCAGGAAATTATTTCATGCTATATGAAAGGTTGTGAATGCATCTGACCTGCATAATCACAATGGGGACTTGGGATCACCACGAAATAAATGTTATTTTATTTATTTTATGTCAATTCTCAAGATATATGCACTCGTATAGTATTCCTTCGACAGAGTGGTCATTTTAGCCAATTTATCAAACACTACCCTCGACTTGGCCGACTCGAGTCGACTTGAAGTCACTCCAAGTGACTTCACTAAGCGAAGTCGAGTCGACTTGGCAAGTCGCGACTCGACTTTTTGAGTTTTGACAACATTACTCTGCTCCAATGGACGGTGTTTCTTGTGTTGTGGTGCAACTGGATGGAATGGTCGGGACTACTGTTGCTGATGTGTGGGTAGTGGGCAACTATTTTGCCAATATTTTCTCACCTGCAGAAGGTTCCATAGTAGAGGATGGATAGAGGTGGTAGCATTTGTGGGACGTATGGTTGTAATACATTGACCAGAATTGGCAAGACTGAAGCAAAATGCAACCAGTATGCCATATCTTTCAATTTGTGTTAAAATAGTAGTCTGGAATCTGGTACTGATATTATTAGTATTCTCGAGTGCAGTGTAAGTCAAGTCGACAAAAAAGGGTTGACATCAGCGGTGCCTTCACTGACCATCAGCCGAGATTTTACTTAGATTTCCCGACAACAAGAGGATTGGAAAGAAAGAAATGAAGGAACAAAAAGTTACATGTAATAAAGTGAAAACCCAGCATTGCACAGGGGGAGTGCATACTGGAATTTCTCGTGGGTACGACAACACAGCGCGGGACCTGGCACCCGTTGTGCCACTAGGAGGAATCGAACCCCCGACCTCCATCCTACGCACTAACAATAGGATCGGGCCATTCTACCACTGAAATATAGTGGACACGAGAATTTTGGCTGCTTCTGCCTCCGTTCAGCAGCTGCGTCAGAACTAGTGTTGCCACGACTCAGACTCCGAGGCCCCTGAGTCGACTTAGTGGTGCTGACTTGAGCCGAGTTGAGTTGAGTTGATACCATCGACTTGGGGTCACTTGAGTGACTCAAGTCGGGTTAAGAATTGATTTTGTTCCTTGGGGCCTGAGGAACTCATTGGGGACATTTGTGTAAAAAATTGCGAAATTTGTGACATCATCACGGACCATGACAATGGTGACATGTGTGACAGACAAAAAAAATATTTTTGCACATTCACGTTTTTATGAGCTCCCAAGGTGCTGGGAGCAATTTGAAAAATATGCCGACTTGGTCGACTTGAGTGACTCAAGTTGGTTGAGTCGACTTCGGTCACAAGTCATTTTACTGAGTCAGGACTCAACTTTTTGAGTCGCGGCAACACTAGTCAGAATGAAGACAGGTGTTACCGGGTTGAGTAAATTTGATCCGCTGAGCCGTACATATGGGGCTGAGCACGTTTACACTCTCGTTGTCGGTTTTTTTTGTAGTCAAGTCAACTAAATGGAAGTATATCAAAACACTGCGTTGATCATCTTCCCCGTGGGGAAAGGATGTGTTGGCACGTCAGTGGCAGTGTTGTTGTTAATTAATCCCTCTTTTCTTTCTTTCACCACCTCGAGTCAACTCGTCACTCGAAAAAATGCGTCGGAACAGACAGGTACGACATAGAATCCTCTCAAAGCCGTTTCTAACACGCCCCAGGCCAAGGCGAAAACACCGAAGAGAAATGTCAAAATGGCCGTACGAGACGCTGTCGCCGCCTTCATCGACAGCGAGGAGTTTCGGCCTCCACCATTGCCAGAACTTGATGACCGCTTCGGGTGGCCAGATAGTTTCTCCGACTCTGACGCCGAGGATGGCCCCTCTTCGCCACCTGCAATTGAACGGGAATACTATCGCCAAGTTGGCGTATCCACTGTCACACGGGTCTTATTCCTACTCTTACGTGGCGATCTTTGGGGTAAACCAATCGGTCTCTCTCAGGTAAGCCGCAATGCTATTCCACAGCCCGTACCTTAAATTCCCTAGACGGTCCAAAATGCTGTACGTACCCACGAGGTGCTCTACAAGCTTCTGAACAAACTGGACAATCGCTTTATGTCCGGAGTGTCGAATACAGAGGCCGGTTTTCACACCCTGATCGCCCGTATCTGGATACAGCTGGACGAAAATACCAAAGAGCTTGCTTTCGTGTTACGTCTGATCTTCCTGCCGCTGTTACACGCCGCAGGAGAGGCCTATCTCAATTTGTAAGTTGCATCGCGTCATATACTTGACTTGAGACATGCAATAATAGTCTGTCTAGCTACTCTTCCGACCCCAACCCCGAACCCAAGCCGACCGCCAAAAATAAAACCCACGGAAAAAAACTGCCCCCGGGTGAGTCACTCGCTTTTTGGGAATCCGACCAAACTTCCAACTCCACGCCGTTTGGCAGATCTTACCTTCTTGAGCAATGTCCGCGAGGCACAAAAGAACCCGAAAGCGGCCTCTCTTCTCGTTCGTAGGTTAGACTTCGCAGTAACACGGTCTGACTCCATCAGGGAAACCCCCCCCAGATATTTTATGAAAATTTACGGTAGAATGTCATAAAATATCTTCAATTCCTTCAATGGGTACAAATATCTGAAAATATCTTCTCCCCAAAAAATATTGCAACATTTACTCAAAAGTTATACAAAAGTTGTACAAAGTTTCTGCAGGTGTGTCATCAATGTGTATCAATTATCTAGGCTCTTTCTCGCAGTTTCTCAGTCAAAACAGCAATTAGTGCATCACAGACAGTTATATTATGGCAAAGTACAACAGTGTATGTACACTAAGAGAATTAAACGTGGTTATAGAGAGAGAGAGAGAGAGAGATTATCATCAATCACTAACAAATCACATTGTTAGCCGAGCCCGAGGCAGCGGCGCCGCTGGCGCCAGGTGATTTGTTAGGGAGTCTTCGGAAAATAGGAAGGAGAGGCGGATGATTCGGATAGCGACAGCGACGTCAGCGTCAAATTGATCGACACACAGCTCGTGCATAAAGTAAGTTATATTTCACCGTGATTGCTGATTTCAACAACTTTTTTCAGGATGTTCTACCCGACTCGGACGATGAGGTATATCCCCATGTTCCTACCGGCTCTGAATGACCCCCTTCTGAAAATACAGTCCCCAGACCCGCGCGCGACTATGCGCACCATAGCACTCCCCTAGTCCATTTTTAAGCGCGGGGGTCCGATCGGAGTTCAGTCTTATTATGTAATCACGTTTTGAGGACCTTGCCCCAGTTCTTGAACCCGGAATTTATCTTCAGCAGAGAAATAAAGATGTTTTCTGCGTACCCCAATATTTTCAGATTTTTTGGGTCCGATGGGCCGAAGCTGTTGACCAGTCAAGTTGATGGGTTTTGGGGCATTGATGTCCCGTCACATTGAAGGACAAGCTCCTGCACGGATTCAAAGACCATTTAAAAAAATCCAAAGTGACAGATCATCACGAATAGGGGTGCTCAATTCTTAGGTCGGTCGGTTGGGTCGTTGCAAATAAATACCAAATTTCGAACTCCGCTCGAGCTCGTCCTTAAGTATCCCTGAATCCATCCGGAGCACTTCGACCCATGCCTAAACCTACCAAAATCCAAGAGTACTCAGATGTCCTGTTCATTGCTGAGAATCTACTAGTACTCACTGCATCTGTTGCTCTAGAAGAGGATGTTGACAATTTGGATGACTTTGAAGGGGACGAAGCTGAGATCCTTTGCGATGACATATCAGAGATCCTGGATCTCGAAAGCCTCAACTGGCTGAAGATTGCTGAGTCTATGAGAAAGGTTCAATGCAGCAGGGATGGTACATAGTAAGAGTCTCGAGTGTCGAAGTGCTAGGTAATTCAAGCCGAGCGGAGTTTGAAACATTTCTATTTTATTTTATTTATTCCAACGACCCGACCGACCGACCTAAGAATTGAGCACCCCTAATAGTCTCTAAGGTTGAGTTCCGCACCAAGAAAGCGGAGAAAGATGCGCCGCAGAGCGAAAACGACCCAAACGAGCTAAGCGAAGATTACGTAACAAGGTCGAACTGCGATCGGACCCCCGCGCTTAATAACAGACTTCAACAAACCGAGGTACGAGGTCGATCATTGTTGAAGTGTCTGGCTATGAGAGACTAGCACTCCCCGGCTCGGAAATGCCGTTTCTGGTAGAGGTTCGTCCTTGTCTTGTACGCATCGGTGGGCCCTGACAGGGACCATCGTATGACCGGATCGACCTCGGCTCGGAACATGTTGGGATTTTGTCGGGTAGCGCGGCGTACGAGGCGTATTGGGCCTCTGCCTTGGTAAGCGCCATTCTCGATCATGCACATTGCACATGCAACACAATTTACCCTCAATCAAACAGGGTGTGGTTCTCATTAGGTCCGAGTTGGTTCCATTTTAGCTCAATAATTACTGCTGACTAGGAGGAGGACGGTCTCACCCTCGATGCCTTCGATTCACCGGTGGAGGAAGAAGTAAGGCCTCGAGACGATCTACGGAAACGTCTCAAAGATGTAAGGCCTTCAACTCTTCCCATGGGTTGTATTTTTAAAACATTTTCTATCAGAGTGATGCCTACTGGTGGCGCTTCATCTCGGATACCATCCCGCCCGATGAGCTCCTTCTGCCGGACTTGATAGCGAGCCTTGAGTTGGAGCCTGAGAAAATTGACCCAACATTTCCCTTGGAGGTATGTAACCGCTCGAAATAAATTCATTGCTTCTCTCAATATTCTGACTTTGCCGTTCAGGTATTTATTTGCATACTACAGGTTACTGCCGGACATGACGTCGATTCATAATTCCCAGGACCTGATTGACGTGAACTTCTGCGACAACGACGCTGTCTCTGAGGTGGACGCGACCCGAAGCGCACCGATTCGCGAGCCGTTGGCACCATTGAACGGACAGGCGCCGGTGCGGTCGCTGCAGGGCAAATTGAAATGACGTCGCTCCCAACAATGAACTGAAGCATATTTTTATTTCGGATTATCTTCTATTCGCTTGTATTTTACATAAAGCCATATAATTGTAGCAGATAATGTATGAAAACACAACAGAAAAACGCTGACGTGGTCTGAGGATTGAGGTTCGTCGCGGGGTCAAAGTGGTCCCCTCGTTCTACGTCGTAGCGCTAATCATACACCTAATCATACAGTCATCGCTGCTGGTTGGAATTTCCTGTCTTCAACATCTCCAAAGCTTCCTCAAAATTTGGAATGTCGCCAGCCTGCCGCATTGGCCCTCCCCATCTTACCAGCCCTTTGTTATCCACCGCAAAGCTTCCCGACGTCTGCCACCGGTTACCGCTCTCCGTCGGCCTGTTCCAGATTCCCTCGTCCTTTCCGAGACGGTAGAGAGCCCACAGGCCCGCGGGGCTCAGGAAGTGCGCGAGCGTCGACACTCCGAGCCCCCACTGCGCGAACAGATCGCGGTCCGCGTCAACTATAACTTCGATCCCGGTGCTGCCCCCGACGGCATCGAGCCAGCGCTCGGTTGCGCCCTGGTCGCTGTGCGATACCGCGACGAAGCGGACATCTGAACTCTGTGCGGCCGCAGCGCGTAGAGCTTTGAATGTCTTCTCGGCGACTATGGAACGATACAAGTCAGTACATGATGAGGCGACATGGATATGAACCGGAAAGGATGCGAACATGGGCAGCCACAGTGCCGCAGGAAGGTCACGACGGTCGGGCGTCCGTCGGCGGCCGGCATGCGCAGGCGGTCTGAAGAAGGTGCTTGGAAACTGATACTGGGTGCCGAGTCGGTTGGTTTGGCTTTCGGAGCCCAAAAGGAATTCAGCTCCTGTCGGAAGCTCATTTCCGATCTGGATGGGTACAGGAGACACGTAGCCGTGTTGGTTTTCTTTCCTAATTCGGATCTAGCGGTAGAAATGGTTATT